TTTCTTTACCATCTTGGAAAAGTAATCATAAACTGGTTTTTGTTGCCTGTATGTTTAATTAATTTTTTGTCGCTTTGCTTTTATGAGTCAACCAGACAACTTGTTCAATAGCCCTGTGACTAATTTAGTGCCTTTGTTTCTACAAACAACTGCACCAAAGAGCACCTAAATAAGATCGTTTAAGAGATACTTTGATGTGTTGCATTTGAAGTCTTTGCTCCTTTGCTGCAAACTGTGCTCACTGCTTAGCTTTGACCACAACTAAGATCACAGTGGGATTCATTCCTCTTCTTAATAGAAGTTTGTTCACCTCAAAATTTTTACGGTTGGCTAGACCATCTCTGCTTGCAAGGGGTCCAGCGAGAGCAGGTATGTAATGCTGTGTATTAGACACATTCAGGGACTCTATGGTTCCTTTGAGCAATACTAGCTGTGAGCTATGTAGCAGTTACCCTCCATTTCGTGAGGTCTATGATTTGGTTTTCTGTTGGTTTAGCCACCTCTGCAAGCTGGAGGTGGGTGGGGGTTGGAGGGGAACTGTGTGCAATGTTCCTGGTGGGTGCATTGCCACTCAGCCCAGGGGTGAATTTCTGTCCATACAGCTCAGTAATTCTCAAAATTGTGAATCTGGTGGAAAGAAAATTTGGCTTGCCTCTGGCACTGTGAGACAGATGCGGTGATATGAAACCAGGCTATCAGATGGTTGTACTTCCTGGGACCTTTTCTCCCGAATTTCATTACAGACTTTCCTCTCACCACAGCCTTCTCAAGCACAAGAAAGCTAGTATTTCCTGTTCCACACTTTTATTTAATGATTTAACTTGAGTGTGTACTCCAGGTGCTAAGTATAAATTAATAAATACTGCTGCAGCAAATCACATTTCCTCTTGGGCTAACTCTCAGTCATTTCTAAGCTCCAGACCATCTATCCCCTCTCACTCCTCCTTGGAGGTGAAAAACAGTAACGGTGCTAATGCTGGTATGTCAGAATAGCAAAAACTACTTTGATGCTGAATTTGTTATAAATGTGTTTGCAGATTCCTGAGGCTGAAGAGGTATGGAAGGTCTCATCTAGCTCAAACAGAGACAAACTGAGAATAACTACAAGGAAGAAAACAATAACAGTAGAAAGGAACAAAACCCACACACTTTCCTCTGAAGATTAAAGAGATTGGCCACAGGTAAGAAATAGCCAGACAAGAACTAGAACTCCCACGCTTATGTGTTTGACTCATTATTTCTTATGTGAGTGAGTAATAATCTCTGCAATTAATGGATGCCACAAAAGATGAAAGGGATGGAGCATTATAGTGTCAGCTCAGCAGAATAAGCTACCAATATTTGATAGGAGCTCACAGGGTGCTAATAAGTTTCATAAACCTAGGATGCAAGTGACTGTGATAAAAGAAAATAAAGAACAGAGAAAAGATTAGGAGGGTCATAATAAAGTCAAATAACTGTTTTTAGAAATAGCTAAAGCATGTCCTCCAAAGATATGGGGGGGGTCAAGGTAGAGAAAGGGTGATTTGGACTTTTCTGACAATAGACATGTATGTATTAATACAAAAGGCACACATTTATCTGATAGAGATTTCCTTTGTACTCAGCCGTCATTATTTGGATCACATTTCATGGGAAGCAGTAGGCCCTGAAAGAGACCCATAAGAAAGGATGAGTTTTGACCCTATTCATTGACTAAGGAAGGCTGGGCCCTGGGAAGGGCCAAGCAGGGTAAGAAAATAAGAGAACTTTCCTGGGAGTGGGAGAAAAAATGATCAGAAAGAAAAGTGTCTGATTACAAAGAAAACACAGGAAAGGAATGGATATTTGAAACAGAAACAAGGACTGAGGAGAAGCATTAAAACCATTCCAAAGCCTTGCTCATTTGCCTATCTGAACTTCTAAGCAGATGTTCATCTGTAGCTCATTCACTCTGAGTATAAAACCAGAGAGGATACAAGGAAAGCCAGGTACCAGGAGGAGAACTATCCATATGGGAAGAGAGTCAGGGAAGATGTGTTTCATATTTTGTTCCACCCAGAGGAAAGTGCTGACTCAGACTGGGATTCTGACTCAGTATTTCCCAAGATCCCTGCCACATCACTGTGTTGCACATTCAAAAATACCCCTCCAAAAAATGCACTCAAGCACTCTGTCCTGGAAATGATAGATCATGCTCACAAATAAGTAAAAAAGAAGTCTATCCAATACTAAAAGCATCCTCTTGAAAATTCTGCTTCTCTACTGTCAGTCATCTTCTCACGGGTTCAGAAAGTTTATCAATAAAGCCCCTTTAAAATAGAAAACAGCCAAGCAAAACTGAAAATCTGTGAATGATGCTGTACATGGTCTAAGAAAATTTTAAAAATGTGAAATGAGTGCTATATGGATTTAAAAGAATGCCTAAGGCTATTAAAAATTGTGAAAGGACAGACCTTCAGACTAGAGCTATTCCTTTAGTCAGAGTCTAGAGACCAGATGTCTCTTCTCATGCCCTCCAAAAGTGCCTCTGGTTTGAAACAGAGCTTTTAGTAAGCAGCTTCCATAAGTAGTCAAGCATCAGTGCAAATTAAATTATATTTTTAAGGTTTGGGGTTTTGTTTGTTTGTTTTAATGGCACATGAAATGCTTATTGGGAAGCAACTTCTACCACTGGACAGAAACTACTTAGCTGAAGTCACTTTCACTTTTCATGTAAGACTTTGCTTTTCTCTGTGCACGTTAAAAGACACCTATTTTGTCCATCTGTGTGTAGCTTGTTTTGGAGATAGAGGCACAAATGCATAAGAATTTCCTCTTTTAATTGCTATTCTTTCTCTACAGTGTATTCATGTAGCATTTGTGCAGTTGGTCTACACGTAATTTTAGAATTCATAAGAACTCTCCGAAAACAAAGAGCTAGCTTACTAGGATCAGTTCAAAGTTTTAAAATGAATAATTTTTCCTTTTATATCCTTATAACTAGCCACCTGTGATAAACACCATCTGAAAACCACATCATTTTTTGCAGCATATATAGAAGAAGCAAATAATTTTTACAAAGCCTATGGGGGGGAAAAAAAAAAAAAAAAAAAGTTGCTAGACAGGCAACATGAAACTCACCAGCTAGACTTTCATATGGACTTCCATCACTGCTTGTTTGCTTCAGATAAAAAAAATCTTAACAATTTTTTCATTAATTCATGATTTTTATTAAACTGCTTGTTAATCTACAAAGTAAGAGAACAAGCACATAGGGTAGTTGACAGCATTTTATGTATTTTCTACAAATTTCTGAAAAGTATTGTATGTATTTTAAATTAATAGTTTACTGGTATTTGATGTAATTTGAGAATTTTGTCATTTATCAATAAATAAATAAGCCATTTTATTCCAGATGTTCTTCTACTGGGCTAAATGAGGGAAAGGACTTCAGCACTTCAATTGTAATCAAAACCGAAACAGTTTAACTTTACAATGAGTAATAAAATCATTGAGTGAAAGGTGCTCCCTGAGTGTCTGGAGTGACCAGAAGAGAAGCATGGTTCAGGAATCAAAAGCCTGTAAGGTTGGACTATCTAAATTTAATAGAGCCTATGATGTGTAGAGGGTTTCTGATGATGTGAAGTGACTCGCATGCTTCATACTTCCTAGGATTGCATATCCGGTTCAAATGTGAAGGAATTTTGTCACCACTTAAGGAAGATAGGAATATTCTCAGCAAATAATGTGAACACTGGTAGTTGGTTTTGATACAAATTCATGAATGTGCAGGATCTATTCTATACTTTCAACCTCTTCTATGCTTTTTCATTTATTAGAGTCATTTGTTTGGGCACACTGCTCAAGAATTGTTTTTTTAAGAACACCTTATATTGATATCCAGAATCAAGTTTCCCAGTTTAATGCACTTTTAAATCAAAAGCAATCTTTCCATTGACTTTTGTAATCTTTTTTTTTAATCAATCAACCTTTAACCAAAACCTCAAGCAGCACCAGCTGCACAAGGAATTTTATATTGCAAGTGAACAGCATACTTTTCAATAAAGGATTGCACATGGTTATTGCAACAAATTAGGTAAGACTGAGTTCTTTAGCATTTGTTTCTCCTGGTAGCCAAATTTTTCGTGTAGGTATTTCAAACTCAATTTAGCATCATGGTTCATTGAAAAAGTGTAGTCACGTAAATACAGTTCAAGTGGTGAGGAAACAAATTTTAATTGATTGAACAGCATTATTTGCATAATGTTTCTGTTTAATGGTCCTTCTAAAGGTGAAGCTAAAATGGAAAGTCTAAATTTGTTCTTATAAGAACATAAATCATTGACATCTACAGTTTTTAAGGATGCAACCAGAAATCTGCGGAGGAGCACACAGGATGATAATGCAGGGAGACATGAAATGGACTGAGGACAGTTGTGCATGCCCCAGAGGGAGAGTTGTTTGACCTTCAGGAGCCTATGAGAAAGGTGGGAGGAAGCAGGGAGGGGCAAGGGGGGTTGGAATTTCCTTACCTCTAGTGACATTAACAGCCTGAGGATAAAATAAAATCGTGAATTGTGGAATGACTTTCCTTTGATGTCACTGACCTTGGGTTCATTGTATATGATGATACACTTTTCAAGAATACTTTTCTATGGAAGTGGTTATGCACATAGATATATTTTATTGAATCTTGTTTGATAACATAAATCCAATCTGTGAAGAAGTACAGAGCATTGCTTACTCCTGTTAAACTCACAACCCTGAGCTGATTTAGAGACCAGACTTACCTGACTGGTACCTTTCTGTTTTGTAAGGTCAAGGGCATCTCTGACCGGTGATTTAGGGGGAAATCTCGCAAATTACACATCTGCCTGAGACATAGCAGTGAGCATAGAGTGGTGCAGGAGGTTCCTTTCCTCTTTGTGGGACAGGAAATAGAGCCCTCTTTGGTTTTAGTTTCCCTCTGGATGATGCAACCACCATACAGACACGGATGATCCCTTGCCATGGATCAAGGGATTACTCTATTTGTGGAGGTAACTTTTCGGCATACATCTTCCTTATTGCTAGTCAAGAGGACTTTGCTTACTATGGGTGGGCACATTGGTAAGAAAAGAGTGAAAGAGGAAGCTGGAAGACAGTTGGCCTTCTTTTGCTATCTTGCACCAAGGCCAACTGCTACATAACACACCCAGAAATCACATTTGTTGCTGTTGCTGGGCCATCATGCTGCTCCTCACCTACTTCAGCAGCCTGTTGAATCCCACGCATTACAGAAGTTGCTGTTGTCACTTCTATGCCCCACACAAGACAGCAAAGAGGTGAGAGGTTTTGCATTATTTGCTATTTTGGGCTGAAAATCCTACACTTGTCCGCCACGTTTAAATTTTTCCACCTCCAGACCTTTTTTAGACGTTTTTAATATTCCTGACTCTCACTGACAAAAAATAATCCCATGGTCACTCCTAGACTATTGGAGGAAGATAATGGCAAGGCCGGATTTGAGCTGAAAACCTTCACCTAGGAGTCCTGCAGGACCCAAGCACAATGTAGACAAAATAGAGACTTTAAGGGGTGCAGAATACAACCTGCTGTTGAGTCTGCCCCTATACCAGGGATGCACAAAGTGGGCTTATTGACTTTTAATTTCCTAAAAGGCCTCAGGGGAATCCCAGAAAACTGCAAATCAGTAAAGCTGACATCCCTACCACACATACTCAGACAGAGTGGGCCCATGGATAAACGTTGTGCAAAAGAAAATGATAAATTTGGCATTTGTGACAGGATATACCACACTAGAGTTTACTGAAAAGTCAATGAATACTTCGTTATTCATATTCACAATAAAGTTTGCTGATATAGTGAGCTATTAATATTCATAACTAAGTTTACTGATGTACTAAGTTGTGCAGGATACAGAGAAGAGATCCAGCTACAAAGAACTTTTTAAGGACTTTGAAATACAGAGTGACAAGGTAATAAAATGGCAGATTAAAATCAGTACTGATAATACGGAGCAATAGAGAGTAAGGACAGAATCAATTTGCTGCACAAGTAATGCACAAAACACAGTGACATCCTCAGACAATTTTGTCTTTCCTCTTGAATTTTTCCCTTTCTAGTTTTAACTACTAATAGGAGATAATATCTTTTCACTCCCAAGCATGTGCATCTATTAACCCTCTCAGATTGTGTAGCTGGAAAAAATTGTACTGACCTTCAGTAAAAAATTTCCAAAACCTCTGCTATATGTAAATATTTATGATAGCCATTAAAATTCACTTCACACTTAAATTTAACTTAGCTGGAAGTGCCTTTCTCACTTGGATATAGTGAGGAATGACACAGAAAATGAGATCCAGGACTCTGGTAAATGGGAGAGAAGAGATGGCAAGTTTTCATGTGACAAATGATTTGCCTAATTTATATGGTGTACAACTGTGTATCATACAGAAAAGGCATGGCATGGGAGGGAAGGGGAGGGCAAGGGATGGAGAAGGGATAGGGTGGGGTGTGACGGAGATGGGACGGGATGGGATGGGACGGGACGGGATGGGATGGGGAGGGGGGAGGAGAGGGGATGGGGACAGAATGGGATGGGGAGGAGAAGGGAGAGGATGGAAAAATGTGGTCTTGAGGAGGCTGATTTTTTTTATTCTTCTCTGGCACTGCTATCAGAATAATGGAGCAAAGTGAGAAATGTTCAGCAGTTATCTTAAGCATCCTGTAGAAATAGGTTTCACAGACTCACACTGGGTAGGGAAAAGTCAGGTCAATATAAGAAACTAATTATTTAGATTTCTTTGAAGGATTAGGTGACTTGGGCAGCACTGGTGAATCTCTGCACTGTCTGGTGTCAGGCTTAACATGAAAGGTTTAAAAATGCTTAAAAAAAGTTCCAGGGTGAAATGAGGATACTTTGGAGGAAAAGAAAAGGAAGAAAACATCCAACCAATCAACTAAACAAACGAAAAAAACCCAAACCAAAAAACTACTGAAATGAGAGTGTTACAAACACATTTTGTCAGCAGTGCCAGCTTCCACTCCATTTCTGCACTGCTCATACCTTCCCTACTTCTCTGCTCCCAAGCACTAGCATGAGAGGAACCTGGGAAATTGTGTGACTAAGCAATAAACTCCTCCCCAAATACTTGGGGTTTTGAGCCAGATTTAATGTGAGAACATCAAGAATGCACGAGACAGCAGAACACAGAAAATGGCACAGGCTTGGGTACAAACATCTAAGGCAGGATGGATTGGGAAATGTTATTTTTATTTCTTCTGGATGTAAAGCAATTACCTTACTTGTTTTTCTGTAGACCCCTTTGGCAAGGTGTGGAAAGACTATATTTCATTTTATAGCCTAATAAAGTAGCTCCTAGCCAGTTTTGGCTTTAAATTAAAAAAAGTAGAGTATTAATTTACTCAAGAGTAAACCTGTTTGTTTTTTTATTTCCCTTTTCCCTTCGCTTCGCTTCGCTTCGCTTCGCTTCGCTTCGCTTCGCTTCCCTTCCCTTCCCTTCCCTTCCCTTCCCTTCCCTTCCCTTCCCTTCCCTTCCCTTCCCTTCCCTTCCCTTCCCTTCCCCTCTTTCTTGTTTTTCTCTCCCTTCTTCTTCATTCTCTTTCTTTTATTTTTTCTGGGAGCCCCTGGTGGTCTAGTGGTTAAGGATGCCGCGCTGTCACTGCAGAGACCCGGGTTCGATTCCGGGTCGGGGCCACTCCCTGGGCAGATGGAGCTCGTTAGCCCTGTAAGGCAATCCATCTACATCCTGAGGACCTCGCTGCCACCGTCCAAGCGTGCTTGGCCCCGGCAGATGAACCTCAGGATTAAAGGGTGGGCTCAGTTCCGCGCACACTGTGTCTCACCTAAAAAAAAAAAAAAAAAAAAAACCAATGGCCATTATTATTATTATTATTATTATTATTATTATTATTATTATTATTATATTTTTTTTTCAATAGAATTTGCTACAGCTGGCTGTGTGTCCCCACAGGACAGTTAGTCTCTTTTAATACCTCATGAAAGAGCATGAGCACAGGAC